TTGTACTTTATCAATAGTCATTTCCCATTATTCTGACTGTCACAAGTTTGACACAACACAATTCATGATGAACTAGTTAGACCTATGACTTTATACAAAGATGGAAGACATTACAACACCCCATAAGTGAAGCCAAACTATCTTGATTGCCCCCTGGTGGCTGGCAGCAGTATGGGTCATAAATCTAACTTGGACAAGGGCCAAGGAAGTCATAGTGGTTTTGTACGCTAACTGAATAAATTGTGAATTCATCCAAATTAACTTATGGTGTACTAGACACCAATTACCATCAGTTTTTTCCACAGAATTTATTTAACCTATCATGGTAACGGGGGCGCACGTGCACACCAACGAAGGTCACTTGGTTCATTACGAAAAATGTGAGTATGGTGAGCTGCCACAGTCTAGATAATTCATGGGAAACACTGGAATACGGAGCCCAGCAAAGATTCACAAAAGGTTCCATTGTTTTCATTAAAGAAACCCTAAACTGGAGATACCATGTAGTTACATAATCTAGAGTCTTTGGTCTCCATACATCTAGTAGATATGGAGATACATCACTGAATAATTTACAATTGTGGCATATTGGAGCTGGAAATGAGCCAATACGATTCATACGCTGGGGAGTTAAGCACTGAATACTTGTGCTAAATTACAATCTATTCAATTCAACAAATCCACCAAAAGCTGAAGCAAGTGTCTAAAAACAAGAAATGACAGAACAAAATTGAAATGATTAAGGAATAAAGGTTCGTTCAAAGTGCTTTGTTGTTAGTTACATACTGTAGAGCTTCTCCCAGCACAGGGAGACTGGGTGGAACCCACTGACCAGCAGTGTGGGTGAAGCCTGTGTCTCTGACATAAATACAGGTTAAGAAATGTGGGAACTAAAATTATTTGTTTCCTTCATATTTCCCTGCTTCTCCCAGCCCAGGGAGCTGATGAGAGTTTCTCTTCACACGAATACTCAGATTTCATTGAAATTAAGCACTTTTAAGAATTCAAGCTTTACAACCAGATTTTCCTTCAGTTTATAAGCACGGTGGTGAGATCACTTCACTTGTATTTAATGCTTCGTGCTGTGAGTTTGGAGGTTATAGTCTTTAGTTGCATATCACTGTTGTTCCTCATGAATGATATCTCTTTAAACAAGGTATTATGAGAGACTGCTATAATAAAAAGAGTGGAAAAACCTGTTATTATAACATTACTTTGGTAAAGTATGGCAGAGGCTTTAAGAATAACACCCATACATTTTAAAAAGAGTCTTAATGTTACGAGAATCAAGTAGTTACATTTTTAGAATCTTCATAATTTAAATTTCAAGATTTAGGCTACATTTTCACGAGAACTCTGAGAAGTGATATTGATGAATAAAATAAAAATGAATTATGATGACTACTACGCTCTCATATCAGGCCTCAATATGACTATGGTGAACAGCAAGCAGAACACACTTCACACTACAGTGCTGCACACGTCATGTATGTAGTGCAAAAACAAAGAAGTCGTGTCAAAATAAATGATATAATACAATGGACCATCAATGAAAGTGCAAGTTTTGGCAGGAAACAGTCAGGGATGCTCTAAACATGTTAATAATGATTCCTGTCGTTTTCCTATTGGACCACAGAGTAGGTCTCATCCTTACACTGCATGTAATTCTCTCCTCCGCCTATGTTCTTCCTCTCCTCTTCCAACTTCCCACCCACTTCTTAACCTCAATTTCTCTTTTCATTCCTCACTGACTGCACCCAGCCTGTCCTCCTCCACACTCGCACACACCTTCTCTTCCTCCTCCTCCTCCTCTTCCTCTCTAGGATCCAGCTTCCTGTTCCTGTCCCAGGGCCTCTAACAGGAGTCCCATGGGTGTCCTCTTCAAACCGATGCTTTCCAGTTTATTCTCCAGCTTGTTCTTGAGGCTCCGCAGTCTCATCGACGCATGGACCAGAACCACTGGGAAGTAGCGATACAGACAGAGGGATGAAGTTATGCTCTGTGAATAGTTTATTAAAGTTAACTGAGCTGAATCTTTTTAAACTAAAAATTGTTGATTCTGAGTAGTGACAACACGGTGAACCTCAAATTGCCAAACATTTTCCAAGGAGTGGACAATGCCCTCTATTTGCAACTTGTTTCAGACAGGCCTTTATTTCTACATGTTTCCGTTTGTAAATATATTTGATAGAAAACTTTTAAATTTCTGTTGATACATGTTTACCTATTGACTTGTGTTTTTGTTTACAGGGCATACATTCCATCAGGTATACAACAGTCACATTGTATTGAAGTCACGGAGACACAAATGTATGTGTGTGTTCCTGTTTTCTTACTCAGTATAGGGAAGGCTATGCCAAACAGGAAGACAGCCACGCCTCCCAGCACCAATATGAAGAGGTAACTGGCCACCAGGACAGCCAACACACAGATCAGCGGGTGGTTTCTACGGAAACGGCGAATGGGAGCTTGGTTCTCAGCCGCCAAGACAAAGCCAAGGAACAACAAGGAGACCACCACTGCCCCAACACACAACTGGAAGGGTTGGAAATACCTGAGAGCAAAGAGACATTAAGCAACATATGGGAAGTGATGGAAATATCTTTGCTTTGGCGTCTGTGAGAACCTCAACAGAGCAGAGTGTTATCACAACTTACTGGGACGCACATTAATAAAACTGGTTTTCAGAGGCTGAGAGGAAGAATACAATCAATGGATCAGTTAAACATATTATTTACAGGAATGCAGGTCTACTCCGCATAAGAGACAGAGCATTGTGTTACTTTGACTTTAACAATAGCTAGAAAATGCGAGCACCCCTTGTTCGCCAAATTGCGAGCGCAGATATGTTGTTGTCTATGGTCGATGTCTGCACTGTACGAATGTGTGTGAATGGCTGGTAAAACTCTCCTGTGAAGTACTTTGAGATATATTGATACAGAACACAGCACTGATACCTGTGACACTTTTTGCCACTATAGTCGTGATAATGGAATATCTCACTGTTTCATGTTTACACTGAAGTGTGTGAACACAAGTGAATTTCCCCGATGTGGGACAAATAGAGTCGTATCTTCTCTTCACACTTGAAGTGCTCAACACTGTACAGTACAGTGATGATGATGATGATGATGAAGATGGCAGGAGTCCTCTGAACTGAGTGGTCCTCTGGCCGACAGATGAAGAGGATCTGCAGCCTCCCTCTGTTTCCATCAGTGAGAACACATTGAAAGAGGAGAGGGACATTCAGTCTGAATGGACTTCTCTCATCTGTCAAACTGCAGGTGAGGACTCGCACAGGTCCAGAGCGTCTACTCCCAGTGAGCCGGGCTCTGAGAGACCGAGGGAGGGGGGGGAGGTGTGGGAGGAGAGGGACACGTCAGAACAACACAACTCACCCCACGAGCAGCAGCAGGCCCAGCGCGGACAGGAAGTAGTTGCTCTGGTAGTAGAGCAGGTTGTTGATGATGCGGTTGTTCCAGCGGTCCAGGTCGCGAACGTCGGGCAGCGCGAACCTCGCCGAGCTCAGGAGGAAATCATCCAGGCGCCGCAGGGGCGGCGGCCGCACGTCCTCCATTTTTACCCCGGGATAAATAAACTGGGCTTCCCAGGATGCAACGCGGGAAAGGGGGCGGGGTCGCGCTGTGCGGAGGGTGTGGACGTCACCCGAACAGGAGGGGGGCGGGGCGCGGGGAGGAGCGATTCATTCAGTCTTCTTGACTCTGTTGGAGGATTCTAAGTTTAAAACATCACGTCATTACAAACTGAGGGATTCTTTATGGTCTCATCCAAAACTGCAGGAGGACCAACAAACAATCCCCCCAGTGTCACAGGACTTCTATGTGAACACAAAGAATATATTAAGACCCCACTGAGAAACTGAGAGACAGTAAAAAAGGAACGATCCAAATGTACACAGTTTCCCTTTTTCTCTTTTCTTTTCTCGCTGAGACGTTTATTTTCAGCCAACAAATTAAAAAGGTAATCATGGCACCTAATGAACTTCAAAACAATGATTTCACAGAGAAGGGTGTTTTCATTGTTATTAATATTATTAGTAGTAGTAGTAGTAGTATAGGTTGCATTCGGGCACTACATTGATTGGAAAGATTCCTGAAAGGGGAGAGCAGCAAAAGGCCGGGTCGGAAACAAACCTGTGGCTAAAAATAATAATAAACATCCTTCTCTGTGAACTGATCTGAACTGAGCCTAATGAACATTTACTGATGTTCATTAGGCTCCGTGATGACTTTTTTAATGAGTTGGCTAAAGTAAGAAGACCTTGGGTCATTGATTTTAAAAAGAATGATACTTACAACAATCAGTAATTTTCTCTTTTTATTTAATAGTGGTCTAAATTCTACTGATTTAGTTTTTTCAAACAGAGTTGAGCTGACTGGTTTTGTGCAGAATAGTTATTAATAACAGTCGAATAATGTATTTTGTGGCTCCTCATCTAGTCTGAGAAAATACAAAATATAATAAAATAACCCATGATAATGTCATCAAGGTTCAGGCTTCAAATGTTTCAAGAGAAAGCTGTTGCTACCTGGAATTGGAACATCAAGGTTCTGTGGTTGTCAGGTGAGAAGGAATTGGGAAAATGAAAACTTCTGTCAAGTTGCATTATAAGAAATTGCTTTGCAACTTTACTCATACTCAGATATCAGGATATGCTATGTTCACACCTCTAACAGGATGTGGCAACATGTCTCAGACCACCTCAAAAGTTGATGTAAGTGATCAGATCTCAAGAGCCATTGAGGATGCCCTGGGGTGCATTCACACATCATTAGGGTTGTCCACTTATGACTGGATCACTTAGGACTATCTGCAGAATCTCAGACACAGTGGAGAAACAGGAAAAGGTCTGGAGACATCCTTTTGCCTAAAGAAAAAGAAAAACAGGTTAGAGGGGAGAACATGGCTCTGGACAGGATTGTAACCAATCTTTCTTTCCATATGGTTCCACAGCTACACCATTAAGATATCATGATAAAGATGGCAAACTCAGTATTTGTAGATCGGTGATCATGTAGGCATTAATCCAACACCTGACTGACTCCTGACAGTTATCCTACAGCCAACCACATCCTGGTAGACTGAACATAAACTATTCTCTTTTATAAAATTTTATTTTGTTAATTTCTGTCTAATACATATACCTGCTGGTGTGGGGTGCCGGCCAAACAAGAGCATTTTGGCAACCATGGGACCTGAGGCTGCTCTTTAATTGGTTGTTACAGATTTTCCATTGGATTTTGACCCCAGCCACTTCCACTTTTATTTAGAGTGAATTGGTATTGATTAACTTTTTTTTTTTTTTTCAATCTAATTTGATTGGTCGACCCTTGACGCCGTCTCAGGTAAATCCACCATCACTGAGTTACTTCCACTGCTAGCTGACCGGCAAAGTATCAGCGACTTCAGGTGGAACTGCTGTAAATCCGTTAATTTATTTACAAAAGCACCCTTTCATGAGAAAAAGAGGATAAAGCAGCTTGACCTGGACTGGGCCGATTTAAAGATTGAGCAGACAGCAAGTTATCAAGAAACGAGCTCAGAAATCAATTCAATTTTATTTATATAGCGCCAATTCATAATTTACATTATCTCAAGGCACTTTACATTTAAAGGTCAAGACCTTAAAACAATATTAACATAGAGAAACCCAACAGTTCCCACAATGAGCAAGCACAGGCGACTGTGGAGAGGAAAAACTCCCTCATTAACAGGGAGAAACCTCTGGCAGAACCAGGCTCAATGTGGGCGGTCATCTGCCTCGACCGGTTGGGGTGAGGAAAGAAAAGTAAGGGGGGAGGAAAGGAGAGATGGGTGGAAAGCGGGGGAGAGAAGAGAGATGAGGTGGAGAGAGAGAGACCGGTAACAATTTGGCACCATCAAAATCAAGGCTAACCATAACAATAACAATGTATAGATCTACAACATGACTAGATATATTAATGAATTGCTGAGTTMTTGTAATAAATGCAGACAATGGTGATGGTGGTCGTTGTGGTCCTGTAGTCCCAGTGCCGGAGTTATCTGAAACGAGATAGAGAGAAGAGCCAGAGGGACTATGGGAGGACAAAGTGACACTTTGACATGATGACATGTTAAAACTAATAAATAAATAAATAAATAAACAGGTGTGAGGGGGCAGAGAGACAGAGAGACAGAGGGAAGTGAAGAAGTGCTCAGTGCATGATGGGCGTTCCCCCAGCAGTCTAAACCTATAGCAGCACAACTAAGGGATGGTTCAGGACTCACCTGATCCAGCCCTAACTATAGGCTTTGTCAAAGAGGAAGGTTTTTAGTTTTACTTTAAATGCTGAGACAGTGTCTACCTCAGAGACAGAGTTGACTAACTGGATGCGGTGTCAGTAATGTATTGCTTCCCCTGTTACCCATTTAGAAGTGTTGGCACGCAGGTACTGCTGACAACGATGGGGGTGCAAGACCTAAAACACCTCTCTGAAAAACGACATGAAAGTTGCCCCAGTCATTTAGGCCCAATCCCATTTCATCCCTTCTCCCTACCTCTACCCCTTGTTTTTAAGGGTTACCTTGCCCCTTGAAATAGAGTAAACAAGGGGAAGTTGTAAAGGGTGTGGTTTGGACCCAATAGCAGCACAAAGACATGCGGGTATCGTTGGTAACAAACTTTATAGTCAGAGCCACAGAACTGCAGGATGCCACAGAGGAGACGAGAGTGACGCTCTCTATGCAGAGCTGAATCAGGTAATCACCGGATAACCAAGGGAGCAGACGGGCAGAATCCAGAAAGGGACAGGCGAGGATCGTGGTCGGGGACGGAAGGCCGAGTTGATTACCAGGAGATCGGTCAGGCAGGATGGTCAGAGACAAGCAGGGTCGAAACCGGGAGATCAGGCAGAGAAACGTTGGAGAGTCTGGTGCAAGCATCGAGAACAATCTGGCAATGAGTGAGAGTGGAGCTGGGGCTTAAATGCAGCCAGAGCAGAGAGCACCGGTGAGAGGAGTTGGCTTGATGAGAGGGGTGTGTCTGATTGGCAGATTGAAGCAGGCAGGTGCAGAGTGGTGAGGGAGAGATGAACTGTGACAGAAGTGGTTGAAATCTTCCCCTACTAAGTGGGATTAAACTAAGTTATTACAATCATCATCATTATTCTTTAAATCCTTATTAAAGGAGAAAATACTACATTTGTGGGTCTCTCTCCCAGCTTGCCAGTGATTTGCAAAGCATTTTGATGTATTTCCTTACCCCTTGGTTTGAAGTGCGGGTCAGCAAAATAGGGCTATAAAGCCTTAACACTTGGCCCTACCCCTTCATGCCAACAGGCATTGGGACAGAAATGGGATTGGGCCTTTGACAACACCATGAGGCTACATTTCTTTGGCAGGCTGATCATTGCTCAGCAGCTCGATGAAGGCTACAGGACTGGCATACTGTGTGTTGTGATGTTGAATCACCAGCCGCCACTGCTCGAACACCATGTCGCCTCTGAAGAAGCAGTGAGTTTTATTGTGAAAGACCAAAGAGCTAGAGGAGGAGGAGGAGGAGGAGGAAGAGTGTCGGGAGCGCGCTCGGCTGTACGCTCCGTCCCGTGCTGCTCTCCGGTTGGCTGCTGTGGCAGCGGGAGCGCGGGCAGCAGAGATCTCGGAGTGACAGTCAGAGCTTCCACGTCAACACAGCGAGCAGCGGCGGCGGCGATGGAGTCCTCGTCTCTGGTGAGCCTCTCCTCTCCTCTCCTTCCTCTCCTCTCCCCTCCTCTCCCCGGGGGAGCTTCAAGCTCTGCCGGGGCGGAGGGGCGTCATGTCGGCTGATGGTGTTGTGTCTATGCGTGTACATGTGAAGTGTTTGCGTGAGCGTGCGGGACATTTGTTGCATCGTGGCAGTTTCGGTGGTGAGCAACACACCGGAGGAAAAGAGGGGGGGGGGGTGCTCAGCTGCTCAGCTGCAGGTTGTTTGTATACAGGAGGTTTTATTTCTCCTCATCGTTCATGGGAGGGTGGTCCTCAGTGTGGCCCGTCTCAATGTGGACGCACAGGCCTGATGTGATCACACGCACGCACGCACGCACACACGCACACAGTTTGATTTCATTCTGAGAGTGTAAAAATAGTCCAGGTTGTCTGTGCTGGTTACACTGCGACAACTTATTAGGGTGTTAAGTTAACTCCATTACAATAGACTGGCTGCCACAAGTGGGTAACTGGCACAGCTGTTACACACTTATCCACGCACACACACACACACACACAGACTGGCTGCCACAAGTGGGTAACTGGCACAGCTGTTACACACTTATCCACGCACACACACACACACAC